TGGGTACAGTGGTACACCTCTGGCCAGAGTAAAACTATTCGAATAGCCGTGCCCACGGTTATGGGCGGGTCTAACAATGTCTTTCGTGATTAGTCTCACACTTCTCACCATAATAAATGATGCTATAACTGGTAATAATTTGATTAGCTCCTGGTTTGGAATGGTACATTCCTGGTTTGGAGATAGATCTGTACAGCCGGGTTTGGTTGTTCAGGATGGTTGGGCCTGTGCAGCATGGGTGTGTTGTTTAGTGTTGATTAATATTGATGATTAATTACTCTACTGTTTTACAATTCTTAACTGTTTGCTAAATGCTGCTTTTGCAAATGAGCCCTATATTATGCCATTCTTTGGTATCCTCGTGCACTTGCATACTTGCTGTGTGGCTTGCGGAGTATTCCATATACTCACCTTGCAATAATCAATCAAACCTCAGTTGAAGACAAGTTGCGAAGGAGAAGGAGAAGACGTTTGGCTTATACCCCAGTTGAGTTGCCTGTGGGAGTGGAGCCGGAGCTTCGCTAGATCGTAATTCCGCTGCTATTTTCTCTTTTCATTTGTAAGTATGTAACGTTGTATTATTGATGAATCTGTATATTAAATTGTCAGTTTGTGTACCTCGGCTGATTCCTGGACGAGGATTTAATGCACAAATAAGTTCGGAAATTACTAGTGAATTTCTGGGCGTGACAATATGGTTCTGAAAATTCAAGATCATCTTTGTATAATTCTTTTATACTCTCAAGTCCCAACACACTTACCTCAAGTTGATTCAACAAAACATTTTTTCGAGACAAGGCATCGGCAACAACATTTTTCGTACCTTTCTTATACTTCACAACATATGGAAATGTTTCAATAAATTCCACCCATTTGGCATGGCGACGGCTCAGCTTGGTCAGAGTGAATGACAAATTATTTTGCCCATAAATAATGTTGCCAAGTTTCAAGAACTATTACCAAGGCATACAATTCTTTATCATAAACAGAATAATTTAATTGAGCTCCTCCCAATTTCTCACTAAAGTAAGCGATATGCCTTTTATCTTGCATTAAAACACCTCTATATCAATTCCACTAGCATCACATTCAATTTCAAAAGTTTTAGTGAAATCAGGCAAAACCAACAAAGGAGCTTCAGTCAAACATCTTTTTAATTTTTGGAAAGCATTTTTTCGTGATTCACCCCATTGAAACTCAAAACCTTTTTTTGTCAACTCATTCAAGGGTGCAGCAATGGTGCTGAAATCTATCACAAATCTTCTATAAAAACCAGTAAGACTATGAAAACTTCTCACCTGACTTACATTCACAGGAATTGGGGGAGTGTCTCCGGATTGATGGAGTTCACCTTCGTCAAGTAGCTTCTATCCCAAAGCTACCCCACCCTGGGAAAACGACCGAAGACGACCAAGGGCTCCGGAGCCCATTAGGCCTCCAAAGGCCATCAAGCCTCCGGAACCGACCAAGGGCTCCGGAGCTCGTCATACCTCATGAGCCGACCAAGGGCTCGAAGCCCGTCAGGCCTCCGGAGCCCATCAAGTCCTTGGAGCCTATCATGTCTCCAGAGGCCACTCGGCCTTCGGAGCCAACCAAGGGCTCCGGAGTTGGCCAAGATGACGGAGCGCTAGGGTAGCCTCTAGGCCGGAGGTGAATGTGGACCCCGAGAGCGTAGTGGGGCGTAATAAATATGCACTACGCATCCGCCAACCACCTCTAGTGTCATGACAGGGATGGGCCAGCACATGCCACTACCCGCGAAGCACGGCTTTGCCCGGGTAATAGCCAGCGCCCTCGGGGGGCGTCACCGCGTCCTTTATGGGCGCAGCCATCCTTGTCATGGGGGATTTTACTAATAGCCCGAGGGCTGGCCCATCGCCCAGCCACTCTAGATTCGCCTATAGGACTAGGGGCAATAACGGAATTTCCTCTTGTATACCCCTATATAAATATGAAAACATTGCTCACAGTTGAGCACATTGAATACAGAATACAGTTTGAGTACACTAGTTGGATTTTTTCCAACATTTGCAATGGAGCATAGTAAAGCTCCTGGACCAGATGGTTTCCCAGCTGAATTTTACCAAAAAATTTGGGACGTCATTAAGCATGATCTGATGAATTTATTTAATGAATTCCATGCTGGCAGTCTTCCATTTTTTGGACTAAATTCTGGGATAATTACTTCAATTCCAAAAGTTAAAGAAGCTAATTGAATCCAGGAATATAGACCTATATGCTTGTTAAATGTCAGCTATAAAATTTTCACTAAGTGGCTACAAACCGAATTAACTCGGTTGGTGACCATTTGGTGAATCCAACTCAAACCGCTTTCATGCGTGGGCGAAACATCTTAGATGGAGTCGTCATCATACATGAAACAGTACATGAACTACATAGCAAAAAGTTGAATGGGGTGATATTCAAAATTGACTTCGAAAAGGCATATGAATGAAAAGGTTAAATGGCCTTTTTTTGCTACAAACTCTACGAATGAAAGGTTTTTCGCCCAAGTGGATTTCTTGGATCAAATCTTTTTCATTTCTGGAGGAACTGTGGCAGTCAAAGTCAATGATGACGTCGGGCCTTTTTTCCTAAGTAAAAAGAGCCTTTGGCAATGAGACCCTCTCTCCCTAATCCTATTCAACTTTGTTGCTGACATGCTAGCCACCTTGATAAATAGGGCCAATTGTCCATCCTACAATATGCCAAAGACACAGTGCTTTTTATGAATCATGACCTTGACAAAGCTCAGAATATGAAGTTGTTGCTTCTAGTCTTTGAGCACCTGTCGGGTGTGAAGATCAATTTTCATAAGAGTGAGTTGTGTTGTTTTGGTGAAGCACTTAACTGTAGAGATCAATATAACTAGCTCTTTGGTTGCCAGGTTGGCAATTTCCCTTTCCGATATCTTGGCATTCCAATCTATTGTAGGAAGTTAAGAAATGCGGAATGGAATGAAGTAGTTGAAAGATTTGAGAAGAAATTGAGTAGCAGGAAAGGAAAACTTCTCTCATTGGGTGGACGACTTACTTTGATTAACTCAGTACTTAGCAATCTCCCAACGTATATGATGTTGTTCCTTGCTATACCTAGTGGGGTGCTTAAGAAACTTGATTACCTTCCATCTAGGTTCTATTGGCAAAGGGATGGCCATAAGAAGAAATACCGACTAGCTAATTGGGACATCATCTGTCGTCCCAAAGATCAAGTGGGGCTAGGAATACAGTGTTGCTTAGCAAGTGGTTATATAAGTTACTCACCACAGACGGAATGTGGCAACAGATGTTACGTAACAAATATTTAAGATCGCAACCATTAGCTCAGGCTTATTGGAAAGCAGGTGACTCACATTTTTGGGCTAGCCTTATGAAGGTCAAACAAGATTTTCTTCAGTTTGGGTCCTTTCGTATTACGGACGGCTCTCAAATAAGGTTTCGGGAAGATAAGTGGTTGGGTAATGCCTCGTTGAGAGACCAATATCCTTATCTCTATAACATAGTTAGGCACAAACAATTGACTATCTCACAGATCTTTCAAACAAACCCACCAAGTTTTTCATGGAGACGAGATTTAATTGGAGCAAAGTTAACTGCAAGGCATAACTTATTGCCCCATATAGCTGATTTAGTTTTGACACAGGAGAAGGATGAATTTCACTGGAACCTCACTCCCAATGGGGTCTTCTCGGTCAAATCTCATTACTTAGCTATTGTTCATACGGGCGTTCTAAATACCAATAGACGTATTTGGAAGGTAGAAGTGCCGCTAAAGATTAAGATTTTCCTTTGATACTTACACCGGGGTGTAATTCTCACCAAGGATAACTCAGCTAAGCGAAATTAGAAAGGTAGCAAGAAGTGTTGCTTTTGTCACAAAGACGAAACCATCCAATATTTGTTCTTCCAATGTCATCTTTCATGTTTGGTGTGTATTGACGGTCGTTACAGACAAATTTCGACAACCAATATCACTAAAATAATGGAGAACTAGCTATGCTTACAATGCATGTTTGTTTTCAAATAATATAAGTTTCACTTGTACTTGGAGAATAACATGTTGCAGTAATTTATTAAATAAAATAAAGAAAAAGTGAAGAAACCTCACTCCTAAGCAAGCAAATGGATAAGATGGGCCCACAAGTCAGGTGTACCGTTGAAAACCGACCTTAACTGCCAAAACCACCATGAGGACCCACCTGTCAGTGAGCAGACCGAAGCTGAAGGCCTGCTGGGCCGGCCCAGGTTCGGCCGAACCCTGGTGGCGTCAGCTCCGGCTGGCCCTTCACGTGGACGCTCCGGATGCCTTCCCAATGACGGTTGCAGGGGCAAAACTGACATTTTGCGTTTCTACAACCGTCATACCGGCCCTATAAAAGGAGGAGCTCATTCACTCTCTCAACACACTCAAGCAAGCTCAATTCCTCTTCACACATTAGTATTAGTAATATAATGCTAAGTGGAGTAGTGTAGAATAATGTTCGAAAGTCCTCCAAGTCTTTGGAAGAGTTTTCAGTATGGCTCTAGTAGCTCTTGTAATCTCTTTTGTAATACTTTCCGAATTAATGAAATACTCTTCTTTATATTATCTTCTGTACTTTTCTTAGTCTGAATATTGGTCTTACTTTATTTTTTCATTATATTAATTGTGTGGGTAGCCTACCAGAGAGGTGTAATGGTGCGCGTTTAATGTCTGATTCATCAGTTGCTCTATGTCGAGTGCACGGGTATAGAGTAGTATCTTTACTGCTTAAAAAAAGGGTAGTGGTGGCCTACGCGATCCAACGGCTCACGTCTTTTTTAGGATCCTCCCGCACATCCAACGCTCCTCCGTCAGCCCGCGTTGCTCCGCATCACACAGCACCACACCCCCGCAAGCCGCAACCAAAGGGTGGGCGTGATCCAGGTTTACCCACAGGCCTCGTTGGCCCGTCCCACGAATTTGGCACCAGTGGGTAAATGGGCCGGCCCAAACTAAAAGCATTGGCTCTACTGGGTACCCGGGTCGGCTCCGAACATACGCGGCGAGGGCTTCGAGCGCGTGAGGCGAGGCGGCGCCCCTTCCTCTCCCGGCGGCGGCGCGGCGCCCCTTCCTCTCGCGCTCCCATCGACCGCAGAGGCGGCGAGGCTCGGCTTCTTCTCGAACGGCGCCGCTCCACCGCCCTTCCCCACCGGCGCCGTCGAGGCTTCGATCCCCAATTCGCGTACTCGCACCGTCGCACGCGATGGCGGCACCCTCTCCTCCCATCCCGGTCTCCACGCCGGCGCCACGGCGACGCCTTTCCCCTTCTCCTGAATTCTACATCGGCGTGACGGCGATGCTTCCTTCTTCCCTCCTCCCCGCCAGCAGCGCCGCCTCTTCCTCCACCTGACGCCGGCTTCCATCTCGTTGGTTACGAACTCGCGCTGCCCCTTGCGCCCATGCCGTTGGCGGCGGTGACTTGGCTGTCGTCCCACTCAGCCTACCGCGTGTTCTGCTGCCCGACATGGCCACGCCATCGGCCGTCCCTGCTGGTATGAGCCAAACTGCAGTATGTCTTGTTTGCCTGTAATGTCAAAGCTGATGAGCTGATCTCTTGTTTGCCGTCAAAACTTGCTTGTTGATTGATTCGTTTTTGTCAATTTTGAAGTTTGTCATGTGCTAAGCACTGATGTATCGGGTAGCAAAAAAATTGATAATTTCAGTGTGTTTCTATTAACATCAGTGGTAATTAATTAAGCATCTCCAATCAAAAAATCAACAGATTATATTCTACTTACGTTCTTTCATTTGATTTGGCATGTGTACTCTCTTCTAGCAAAAATCTGATTTTTTTTTCATGGGTCAACCCGTGGTACCCACTGGCATTGTTGCATCCTAGGTGGGTTTCATGGGGCGAGTCTGGGTCGGCGCCGCCATCATCTCCTCTCCTCCTCCCTTTCCCGTCGCCGCAGCCGTCATCGTCGCGTCTCCTCACTATCGGAATCAGACGTCGGCCAGTCCCTGTCCCTCCTCGCCTCCATCCCCAATCCCCTCGCCCTCTTGCTCCTCCGCCAAGCCCCGCTCCTCCGTCGCGACCAGCGCATGCCACACCGGCGCCGCCTCGCCAAGCGCCACGACCTCCGTTCCGCGACGCCGCCACAACCCCAGGCGCCCAGCCTCCGCCGCCCACCGTCGATCCCTCGTCGTCGCTCCACCTCCACAGCAGATCCCCTCCCCGGAACCCCCTCCCCTTTCCCACACACCACTCCCTCCCATCGACGCACCTTGATGCACGTCTCCCCACCTTTTGCCCGGTCGCCCCCGGAACGGATGGATGGATGCCTCCACGCTGCCAGTCATCGAAGCGCCCTGAACACCTCCGTCATCGCATCTTGCCCGTCTCCTTCGCGATCAGCCGTCCCATCCGTAGTCGACGCCTGGAGAGGCTCTCCCATTGGTCCCGTAGATGGCTGCCTCTGATACATCACCTATGATCTTGGTCTTGTCGATGGCTGCCTCTGATACATCACCTATGATTTTGGGGTATGGAATAATTGATTTGTCTTGTCATGGTTAGGGATTAAGGTTTTTTTTTTTTTTTTTTTTACTTTGATTCCCTTCAGGCTAAGAAAGGAAGAAATTTGTACTTATTCAGTGTTTCAGTATGTTGTATGTAGAACTACAAATACAAATACAAGATATGGTTGATGATCTGTAATTCTTCTTCACTATATATTGTCTGTGTTGATCTTTTAGATTGCCCAATTTGGGATTATCAGAAAATGTTTCTAGATTATCAGAAAATGTCATGAAGCCTTATATGTTTCTAAATTATCAGAAAATTTCCTTCAAAAGAATATTATGAGAAAATGAAAGTGTTGTAAACATGTCTGCTTGTTTTCCATTGCCAGACAGACTCCATTTTGGATTTTATTAACCAATATAGTATGTATTGTCCTGGTTATTACAACAAATCACTTGTTGCTCTCAAGTGCGAGATTTAGCCATCAAAGCTAGATGGAGTAAAAAGATTTTGTTGTTTCCACCATCCTCTGCTTTTGGTAGATGGAGTAAAAAGATTTTGTTTTAAACCTTCTTGATGGTTAATAAAGCTGTTTTTTGGTGATCCATTAAGCTAGCAGCACTTACGGTTCCCATGGACTGAAGATGTGGATTAAGTCTTCCTGCTCGCTGACAACACAGGTCTGGCTTCCTCTCGGCCAATCTCCCCCAATCTCCATCTCCAAGGTAGCATCACTATTTTCCCTTTCCTTTTATTTTCTTGTGTGTTGGCTCCTAGCCTCCTACAGACCGCTGCGGAATCAAGAGGCCCTATGGCCGTGTATCTTATGTTTACTCGATTTCTGCTCAAGATGTTTCCTCTTTTATTTTTAGATTTTAGATTCCTGGTACCCTTACTGTTTTAGTTTTTTTCAAGATGAAATTTCTCTCTTTTATATGCTAACATAGGATTACTATAAATTGAATTCCTGACACATTAATAGTTTGTATTTACAAACTGTTCATGGCAAGGAAGTGACGGTGTAAAGTACAGTTGCAACCATATATTGACGAGACTGCGGCCATCTTGTTTGATTTCATTTCCTTTTTGTCTATTCATTCTTCAATGTCTGATCTAATAATTCAGAAAGATAGCTTTGCAACCCTGCATAGAATTTTCAAATTCATATGAATTCTAATTTTCCTTCCGGGGGTACTATGGCCGGTTCAAGAAGTGTCCCACAGAAAGGTGCATGTCCTTCACTGTTCAAGGTTCAAATGAATCCTCACGAAATGTAAAAACAGGTGACTTACGACATCATTGATTGGTGACCCTGTTAGATTATTTTTCTTTATTGATTATGAAGCTGTAGAAAGGAGGTTTTGCAGTACTAACATTGTATAGGATATTACTAACATTGTATAGGATATAATACCAGGGCCAAACATTTGGGTGGTTTGTATTAATGCTCTTCTTTTTCTAGCCAATCACTTCATTCAGTTTGACAATATGTATATCATTTTTTGTCCTTAACATTAGAATGGTAATGCTTTAATGCAGCCAACTTTTTTACAAAGTATTTTAAGCATAATTTCACCAAGATTGCCTTAATGAAATGATTGTCAGACATAGATGCACATGCTTTTTTCTTGCGTTATGAAATGTCAGATAAATTTATTTCAAGTTACTACTTGCAAAGTTGTCAAATCTTAGTCGAGCAAAAGTCAGCAGTACACAATCTGCACATATACGGTACCGTTCATTTTGAGCAATGTCTATACATGAAAGTCCTTTCTTAGCAGTCAATTCCATGGTCCCTGCAAGTGTACATTCTATTTGACAATGCCACGTTTATTATTATTTTGCATGCTTATGCAAGATATTATCAAGCTGATACTTCGCATTTTCTAGATTTATCAAGTTTTGTGTTAAATTTCTATCAAATATTGGTTATTTACAGGGTCAGGTTGTCTAAAACAATACATGATTTTTCTGATTGTGTCCACATTTTGGAGTTGTAGAAGTGCAGGGAAAGCTAGGCAAATCAGTTGAGAGACCGAGCAGCTGAGCGTTAGATGGATTTAGGGCACTACATGCCTTTGGCACTTCTTAAGCCATAGTCACAGTATTGATCAAGGAGCAGCCAAGCGGACTGTGGCTTAAGGTGATGTCCTCTGTACCTAATAAAGAACTGAGCTCCAGATTTGATACAGATCTTTTATTGCATAAAATACTTTTGTATTCAGTTTGATTTCATGAAGCATACTGATCAGGAATTACTATGTTATGCCTTGTCGAATCCAGTTTTTTTTTTTTTTGCAAGTTTCAGTTTGTCAAACCTTCTCTCATTCTTTTCATGCCAGAGCAAGAAAGCATATGAGATGTGGATAAACAAATACATACACAATAGTATTTTGGTGACTTTATTTGGATGTAATATATCTTTCAATCCTAAGGAAAGAGGATCTTTATTTGTCCGGCATTTATCTTCTTTCACATATAGTTAAAGTTTTTTTTTAACTTATAAAGGTTTAGAACTTAGAAGGTCAAGGTTTTCTTGATCCGTAGGCTGCCTTGAACTTCATAGATGGCATGACTATCCAATTTTATTATCCTAAACAATAATATTGATCTGTTTCTAGCATATCCTGGTGGCAGTGAATAGTGTAGTAGACAATGTGCTCAGCTAGGCGTTCAGCAGTAGTATTGAGGGTAAGTTGAATAGCTCCATGTTTTGCATTCAACCTATTTGTTGTATTGCGTCTAAGTAGTGAGCGTTAGTTCTTTATATTTCTGAAGACTAGGGTATGGATTATCTAGAGATTGTCACCAAAGTTTAGCATCTTTTTAAGTTTATAATCAATTTATATGAGATGTGATATCCTTGTTCTCTTTTTCTATGGTAGGGGCTAACGAAAGAGAGTGGATTTCATCCTATTATACTTGTGCTTGGCACCAGCTAACAACATTTCCTACAGTTATCAACAACTGGCTAAGGGAGGGCCAGCGGCGCATGAGGCGGTCCACTGCTAGGTGCAACAAGCTCACAAGGAACAGGCGGCAAGGTCTATGCGTGGTGCGAGCTGCACGGCGAGCCACACAGTTTGCTCGAGTGGGCTGGTGCTGTGAGCTGCAGGGTGCGAGCTGTGGAAGGATGGATCCGCAGGATTATGAATCCTGAATATTGGTGATGGTCAAATATTCGATGTAATCAAATGATGTTCAGTTTCTCACAAAATCCATTGCTTTTTACATTTTGTATTTTTCTTCTATCAAACCAGATCAAGCTGTACAAGAAACAAAGTAAGGCAGATTTTTTTTTGTTCAGAAACTTCTTTGCAGCAACTTACAATGTCGATAGAAAGTTGTCTTGCTGAAACTTTTGTTGTTCTCGTTGGTAATGTATGAAAAAAATAGAAAGAATGGACATAGTTATTGTTTTTGTTATATCAAGGTTTTCTATTGACATCATTTTACCTGGTTATTTGAAATTAATGCATATTGTTTTCCTGTTGCAAAGCATGGGCACCCAACTAGTTTAGTAATATAAGCATGGTGCTTAGATTATTAAATATCATAATTAGGCATATATGTTGCGAGACATTAGAGGTGGGCCGCTGATGGTGATAACTCAGTACGGGTATTCCTCCACGTTAGTATATATTCCTAACACAAATTCCTGGGGAGGGTACTCCTTCGTATTTAGCCCCGGTTGGACGGCCATTACAGGTTGTCATAAGGAACTCTACTACTTCGTATTTAGCCCCGGTTAGACGACCATAACAGGTTGTCGTAAGGAACTCAGCAACCCAGGACACTGTTAGGGGTATTGGCCACATGATTATATATTAGCAGATGTAAACTATGATTTGAGTGTATATTAGAAGTATAGGAATTGAGTGCTTTCTATTTCTTCTTACACTTAGTTAGACTTACATATTATGAGGATTGAATAGCTTTGCTTCGTGTCACTCTACCCCTATATTACATTTAACCCATGTTTAGGCTTTGACAATTATAAGTCATATATGTATAAAGTGCATTAGCGAGGTTCACTCTTATTATCTTCCCTTAGGATTAAAACTACGATACCTTTGGAATACCTTCGGGTGAAATGCTACAATAGTACTTGCGGATTACTTTTGTAACCATACATATACCATGACTAATTCTAGCGCCATTGCTGGGAATGAAGATTTCTAGTAATATCGTTAAGAAATATCAACAGTGTGGTATGTTATTCGAATGGCTTCAAATTTAAAACTTCCTCGAAATACAACTCATATGTTTGGGCATTGGCTTTCATGTGTTCCTAAAGACATGAGAAATCTACTTTTGATGGGCGCAACAGCTCTTTGTTGGTTCATTTGGCTAAGCAGAAATGGGGTGTTGTTTGATAACAAAATGGTGTCTTCTCCTTTGCAGATAATTACTTTAGTTACCCGGTGGCTACACACGTGGACTATCCTCCACAAACCGGGACTTTGGGATACTATTGGGTGGTATCACGACGTTTGGACCAGGTGGCGCAGGAGATTTTTTTAGCCAGGAGCATGGGTGGCGGTCTAGTCTACGGATTGATAGCCACTAATTTTATGTTTTCTTCACACTCCTCTGCTTGGGATGATGCCTTTTCTTTTGTGGTTCCTTTTTGGCTGTGTGCATTTCATGCAGAGGTTAGGGGTGGGCTCAGTTGGATTGTATCATCTTTGGTGTAATTAACCGACTCTTAATAAAGCTTCCATTATCTATAAAAAGACAATGCGGTGATCGACACTGAGTTGCCGGTCAGACCGGAGCTGTCCGAGCGGTCTGACCGGGTTGCCCGATAGTCAGACCGGTAGACTCTAGGAGGGAATCGGTTTCGGGTTGTTTTCGTACAATTTCTAGATTGCTTTATGTATATGACTTCTAGATGGTTTCTATTTGTATGTGATACTATTGTGTGCTGATGTAAATTAAGTTGATATGAACTTGCACTTGGATATTAAGTTTTTTTTGTTGTTCATGTATAGGTGTTGCTTGAGGCCATGAGAATATAGCTAGTGATGGATCGGGACTAGGCTTGGGAAGAGTTGATGTCCAGACAGTCAAGTATATCACGCAGGATGCTTACGCTAGATAACAATGCACGTGGGGATCAGACCAACTATGTCGAGATATTCATTGATTCGAGAGTAACTTTTATTCTCGCTAAAAGTTTTTTGGGTTTTTATTTTCGCTGCCATTCACATCTTCTGATAGGCTTGTTTAATCTTGTTCGATCCTATGCAACTATTACATCCAGAAAGAAAAATCATCGAATGCAGCAGTAGCTGATCTCAGCAGTGCGAGCCCTCCTTGCAGGAGAGGGCGCCTGCCGAGGAAGTCATCGACGGCACGGAGGGGGCAGACCTTGCAAAGCTAGGGGCTTTCAAATTATCTGTCCTTGCTTCGCCTGATGCCCTGAAGAACGCGCCGTTGAGCATCAGGTCGCCGTCGGATACCCAGTTCCAGTGGTGCCACACGCTCTCCGGCACATCGTCATCGCGCTTCGTCACCTGCGGAAAATTTGCACCGGTTTTGTCAACACTATTTACAAAATAAGTGAAAGCTGCACGCAACCAATGGTGAATTGTGTAGCGGCAGGGTTCCATGTTTCAGTTTCAAAATTGTGAAATATTGGTCCCAATAAGGGAGGAAAACGGCGCAAAAATGGACGTAAACAAGCTCCACTATTTCCGTTTCCTTTTTTTAAAATCATAATCGAAATTGCAAACCTGGATAAAAACTGGAATCAAATATTTTCAAATACGAACCAGAGAAAACAAGGTAACGAATATTTATCAAAATATTAAAAAAAAACTCTAACTAACCTTCTCAAATCAACGAAGAGATGTGCCTCATTATTTTACATTTCGAATATTTAACAATTACAAATAATACAACTTTTAGCTGTATACTTCGCATTCACTTCCCCATAGAACTACAACAAGAACTATATCCATCTACAAATGGCACGAACATATAAAACAAAAAATAGTCGCAAGGTAAAAAGAAAAAATATCACTATCCACCTCAATACTTAATATAAGTCTGAACATGAAAAATAATTTGTTTTTTATTAAAAAAAATCTAAATTTATTTTTTAAAGTTTCTAATTGATTCCAGTTTTTCACCGATAATAGCCTCATTGTATTCATTCCTGCTTTCCAAAAAAAAAATCAAATTTGTTTCTATTTTCGAAAATTTCTAAATACATTTTGACCGACACTAAAACACGTCCGAACCGAAAACTTTCTGAACCCAACCAGAAGGATATTCTTCTAGCCAAAAATTCTCAGCTTTATTATCTAGATAATTTTGCTCAAATTTAGCTGGAACTTGTCAATATTTTAGATTTTTTTTTCAGTTTGAAATTTCGGCAACATTTGTTCTTTCGTTCCGCTCCAAAATTTTGGAATCTTGTGTGAGTGATAGGAAGAATCCATAATTAATTATTCAAACTAGTTGTAAGCCCGTACGTTACACAAGTATTGTTCAATGTTTAAAATTATTAAAAGATCTTTTTATGATTTAACCACTCTGAAATTTGTAATTAATAAATATTGAGTTATACTTAGTTTAGAGCTTCTTTTGTATTGTTTTAATAAGGCTGGAATTCAGACTCAATTAAAACTAGCAAATACTAAGTAGTGTTTTGGTTGGTGTCTCAATTATACATTTGGCATGATACAATAAATGCCAAAAATTAATTATCAATGAGTTGTACTCAGTTTAGGGTCTAAATTATAAAATGCTTGAAAAATTCATAAAATTGGACATTAATAATTAAGGAGTGGTACTCGGTATGGAGTCTCTTCTATAGTTTTTTTTTTTAATTATGACTAGCAAAAATGCCAGTGATGTTGCAACGGGTGAAAAGTTCTAATGATAATATAGGCTTTTCATGCATAACAATGTCAATGACAATGTTTGTAGGGATCGTTTGTAGCTAAGATCGACAATTAGAAAATTGGAACATCTTCAATGTAATGGCCCAACCTCGAAGATGGCAAAAGCCGTGTAGGTGATGAAAAAAAATCAATGTATCCTATCCAACTCAAGCGTCCATCAATTTTATCTCGTGTTGAGTCAAACGGTTTTTCGGAGCGATTCTGGTTATAAATGACATTTTTTTTTCTCGTGAGTCAGACGGTTTTGTCTAACCTTTTTTTATAAATGCTGATATTTTTCTCGCGTTGAGTTAGACAGTTTTCTTGAACCGTTTTTAGAAACAACGGTTTTTTCTCGCGTTGAATCCAATTGTTTTTTGACCCCTTTTTTATAAATGGTGTTTTTTCTGACAGTTTTTTCAGAGCGGCTTGTTTTTTATAAACGATGTTTTTTTTCTTGCGTGGTTTTCTCAAACCATTTTTCAGAAATGGCGCATTTCTTTCTGACAGTTTTTCCTAGCATGTTTGTTATGCTTTTCTGACATTTTTTTCTCACGTGTTTTTCGTCTTGTTTTTTCGAGTGTTTTTTTTTTGCTCTTTTCCAGTACACGAGAATAGATGACGAAACAAAACCCGTGTAGGAAATGGAAAAAAAATCGATGGATCCTATCAGACACAAGCGCCCATCAATTTAGTGTTTTTTCTGATAGTTTTTCAGAGCAGCTTGTTTTTTTATAAACGGTGTTTTTTCCTTACGCGTTTTTTCTGACAGTTTTTTCCTTGCATGTTTTTTGTTTTATTTTTTACAAACGATGGAAAACCTTTTTTTGACGCTTTTTTTGCACTTTTTCTGACATTTTTTTCTCACACGTTTTTTCCTTTTTTTTCTCATGCGTTTTTTAAAACATTTTTTATTTTCTCGCGTATTTTTTGTTCAGTTGTACGATGAAAGCTTCTCTTTTTAAATAGTTAGATTAGATGTAGAGAAGAGATATATACGGATTACTAAAACGAAAAGAAATTGGATTATTTTTTGCCGCGCATTTTTTTGTCCTTTTTATATTTTTTTCTCACGTGTTTTTTATTGTTTACGACCCTTTTTTTAGGAAATCGCATGGACCTTTTCTTTATGTTTTTTTGGCTTTTTTTGGGATTTTTTTATTTTCGCCTTTATATGAATCGGATTTTTGTTTTTTCTTTTTAAGGGAATTGGATCTATTTTTTTGCCACTTTTTTTTTATTTTTCGTCTTTTATAGGAATCGGACTTTTCGCTACTTTGGGGAATCAGACATTTTTAAGGGTTTTTTTTGTTATTTTTTTATTTGGTCAGATGAAGGAAACGTTTTAAATTTTTAAGTAGTATATATATTTAGTAGTTCCTGATTTTATATTTAATTTATATATTGGGTTGTCATAACCTCATAACTCATAATAGATGGGTTTTTCATGTGACCCGTAATGTTAAATGCAGATGTATGATCATGGCAATACGTACGATATCTAATGAATTGCTAGATTTTTCTGGAAGCTTCTAGGAAGTGTTCAGCTAATGGATAGATGTAAGATAGATATATGTGGTTGAAACATTTTTTGCGCCAAAATGAACCTTACCATAATTTGAAAATGCCAAAATTTTACAAATTGGCAACATTGCCAAAATTTGGTAGGATTGGCATAATAATATTGCCAAAACTCTATACACATTACCAATATTTGGTACTACCTCCATACAAAAATAAGTGCAGCCGTGGGTATCTGTGTCCAATGTTTGACCACTCGTCTTATTTGAAAAATTTATGAAAAAACTTTTAAAAAAAGTCATATATAAAGTACTATTCATGTTTTATCATGTAATAACAATAAAAACACTAATCATGAAAAAATTTCAAATAAGACGAACGGTCAAACGTTGGACATAAACAGTATAAAATTGTACTTATTTTAGGACGGAGGGAGTAACAAACTAAATCTAGCTACATAATTATCAATTTTACCAAATAATGATATGGTTGAAAATATCATCACTCTGAACATGCCCTTATTACGTGATATATATGTCACCATTATATCTGCCATTTACACACCACGTATACTACATACCGAACGAAAAAGTTTAAAATGGGCAAGTTTATATACCTCTTTGGCCATATCAGCATAGAATCTGTTGCCGTGGCTAATTATGGTCGGTGAAGCACTGCCCCCAATGGCGTACTTTTGCCATGCTATGTAATCGTTGTTGATGACGTGGAAAAGACCAAACCGACACCTGGCACGTAATGAAAAAAAAAACACTATTGAACTAAAATTTTCTGCTACTAACTCCGTTCTTTTGTTCTTTGGTAGTTTTCAACCTCGTTTTCAATGCAAAGTTTTATCATTATTATATCTTTAATATATACTCTTTTAAAATTTACAAAAACTGTAACTATCTGAAAAAAATGTTTTTCATGATAAATCTACCAATGCAATTTTCACATGCAAAATCCTAATTTATTTGAAATAAGTTATAGTATAAAAATAGTCAAAATGACTTATAATATGAAATGGAGGGTAGTACTTAATTTTCAATGCACAAGTTTTATCATTATTTCTTTAAAATGCATTCTTTCAAAATCTATAAATACTGTAACTATATGAATAATATGTTTTTCACAATAAATCTACCAACGCAATTTTCACATGCAAAATCATAATAGTCTCCATTATTTAAGATTTTGAGATTTAACTACACGTATTCTAGGGTTCATCTATTTCAGAGCAGAGTTAGTAACACTGTAAACATGGAATGAGTTACCTTGGCATTCTTTGGACGAGGCCTGGTCCAAAGCGATTGAAGGCAACGGTGACCTGCATGGCCTTGTCGTCGGTGTAGTCGTCGTTGTGGCCGAGGAGAATTGCCTTGTCATGGTTGCGCAGGAGGTTGTTGGAAAGCGTCACGCGGGTGGAACCTACGACCACGTCGATCAGCCCGTCGGCGCAGGCCTCCACCGTGCAGTGGTCGACCCACACGTCGCTCGAGTTGTGGACGCCGTCGCCGTCCGACATGCCGGCCTCCAGCTTGGGTGCCGGCCTGCACCGGCGTATGGTAAGCCCGTGGATGACGACGTCGCTCGCGCCCCTCACCGCGAAGCACGCGCCGCCGTCGCCAACCACCACGCGGGCGCCCCTGCCGTCCACGGTCTTGCGCGAGCTAACGACCAGCTCGTGGGCGGGGCTGATGGTCATGTCGCCGGCGAACACGATCCAGAGGGGCTCGTCCTGGACGAGGCCGTACCGGAGCGTGCCGGGTGCCGGGCGGGCTGCGTCGTCGCCGGTGTCGTTCACGACATACACCCTGCCCCCCTTCCCGCCGACGGCGCGGCGGCCGAACCCGACGGCGCAGTCGGCGAGCCGCTGCCGGTTGTCGGCCCAGCCGGGGTCGCAACGCCAGCAGTCGTCGATCGGGTTGCCGGTACCGCAGTCCGGTGCAGCATCAGCAGTACTACCATTGATCAGCAAAGGAGAAGAAGCTGATGAAATGGATAAAACGGAGGCGAACAACCATATGAATATGAAGATGGCAGCCATTCTTGTTTTTGTTGATATCTTGTTGGAATTCGGAAGTGATATACTAGTAGAGAAGAATGCATTGCAGTGCAGGTTGGTTCATATAGATTTTGGAAAGAACAGATCGCCAATTCGCCACATAATTATTTATTTTTCATGCAAAAAAATGACGAATTGGAAACTGTTTGGGCAGGATATTGATTAGAATGAGCAACGTGAACACTATATGGAAATATATCACTCTTTATATCTATTTCATGGAAAGACCTTGCTCTCTTTAAGGTTTTAATTTCCCGGATTTGCTGGCAAACATAATTAATTGTTGGTAGAAATTAAAAACTGCAAGAATTTGTTGATTTCAAGAAATTACTTTGCCTGTGCTAACGCGACGGTGCACATACACCGTCACAGTTCAAGCGTCATCAATCCATTAGAGCAGACTTGGTCCGTGCAAGGCTTGTTTTCTCAAACTCAAAGACACGTTGATCTTCAGAATGCGTTTGCACATCCTCAAGAAATATAGGAGAAAGCATATTGATAAATCTTGAAGTACAAAGGAGATAAACGGAATTGAATTGGTTCTATCACAGTAATCTGAAATATACAACAGTTTAAGTATGGCATCCAAAACAGTGATGTCTAAATGATACGAGCAGGTTACTTTGTCTAAATAAATCTCATCCATCCGTTTTCATTAATGACCTAATCTCCAACTAAACTCCCTATCAATTTCCACCACCTCTACCAATCAAGATATTGGGATTAAAAATCAAATTAACATCTTAATCTCACCATCAATTCTCTCGTGTAAACTCCCAATCCCCTTCCCACAAGTTGCCAAACAAGTCGTGGAAGTTTAGAGTGATGAGGCTATTAACTATTTTGTTTTGTCATGATACATAGGAATTTTGGTAGGATGGGGATGGGGAATTAAGAAATGAATTCCCTCCTTTTCAATACCTAGGTAGGAGGTGGTAATTGGGAGGGAATTCCTCCTTTGCTTTGCCTAAACAAATCTCAACCATCCGTTTTCATTAATGACCTAATCTCCAACTAAACTCCCTACCAATTTCCACCACCCCTACCAAACAAGGTATTGGGATTAAAATTCAAATTCCCATCTTAATCTCACCATCAATTCCCTCATCTAAACTTCCAATCCCCTTCTCTCGAGTTGCCAAACAAGCTATGAAAGGTATAGGGTTCGAGAGAGATGAGTGGCCGAGCGGGGAATACTGGTCCTGGCGATATGGCCGTAGATAAGTGTCGGCAGGGATTGGGCCCACTACCCATAGCTGATGCACATTCAGCACAATAAGGGCATTCACAGTGCGTCACAAAGTTTTGGTGCTCCTCGCATGCCACCTAGACAAGAACAATATTAGCCACATATTCCACAGTGCAAACTCCACAAGACCACAATACAAGTAGCTTATAGTGGGTCCCACCAATATTGCTTTTTCACTTTTCACTTTCCCCTCTCCCCTCTCCTCTCTCTCCCCTCTCTTCCTTTTCCCACCGCAGAGAGCCGGGCGACAGCTCAAGCGGCGACAGCGCTGGGCGGAGCGGTGGCGGGGCAGTGACGGCGCCGGTCGGAGTAGTGGAGGGCGGCCAGATCCGGCGGCCGCTCACCCCACCACGTCGCCGCTCCTTCTTCCCTGAAAGGACCTTGATGTCACCTAGAGGGGGGGTGAATAGGTGTTCCTAAAAATTATCACAACTTCATAGCATATTAGAATGATGAGAATTTCATGTTCAAATCGAAACTTCTGGTATGGGATTCGAAGTTTCGGTCTCAACTGAAAAGTTCGGCGGATAACTGAATAAAACACTAGCTATGAACTTGTAGCTCAAACAAACAAAATGTAAATGAATCAAAATGTGACAAATAAGGTATCTATGTAATATATAATGCCACCAACAATATTAATTAAGCATGCAAGTAGATCGGGTAAAAACAAGCTCAAGCACAATATGAGATATGGCAAGAATGAGCAAACCAAAGAAAGGAGACACGTTGATTTGTTTCCCGAAGTTCAGATCCACGGATCCTACGTCTCCATTGATCGAGGGGCCACAAGGCCGGGTCTATTTCAACCTTTTCCTCATGAGGTTGCACAAATGCACTCCTCGGTTTCACTTTTGATTTCTTCCCTTGCGGAGGCGAAATTGAAGCCTTCACAAACTTTCCGTGGCACACCACAACATTGGGTGCTCACCGGCGACGCCTAGCCGTCTAGGAGACCTTAGTCCCCAAGAGTAACAAACACAATCGAAGATTTGCTTGCTATGAACTCGAGTGCTCAAAGTGTGGAGTGAAACTCACTAGCTCTCAATTTCTCAATCTCTCAATCCAACTCTCTCCCCTTCTCAAATCCCTCTCACAAAGAGGCACCACAAAGGATGGAGTGAAGCTCACTAGCTCTCAACTCCTCACTCTCTCAATCCAACTCTCTTCCCTTCTCAAATCCCCCTCACAAAGAGGCACCACAAAGGTAGGGAAATGGGGATGGCTATTGGGCTTTGGATGTGTCTAATACTTCCCAAGAACAGCGGCCACTCAAAGGAGGGGTGGAGGAGTTTATATACCTGAGCTCCTCAAAAACTAGCCGTTGGAGGCCAAGACTAAATTTTTCGGAAGTTCCGAAAAGTATTTTCGGATATGTCAGAAAGTTTAATCTCAGATTCGCAGCCATTTTCGGAATTTCCGAAATTTTCAGAGTTTTCCAAAAAAAATTTGGAGTTTCCGATAATTTTTCAGAATTTCCGAAAAGCACAGAGTAAAACAACTATAACTTTTCGCTCGGGAGTCCTTTTTTGATGAACTTGGACTCTATGGAAAGCTCACTCAAAAGACTACCCAACTCAACCAAAAACAAGGTCTAAAACCACTTAAAGGATAGGTTAAAGCTTGAGTTTCTCTCAAGGTAGCACTATGATAGGTTACTTTGAGCACCGAGACATACACAAACACCTCGACGTTACATCTCTCTTAATAGTATGGCATTTCTAAACTCAAATGTAAATAGGAAGAGAATTATACCAATAGGAATGCCTTCTTTCCATCTTTCTTTCATTGTCTTAAGGGATGCCAATGCCGAAACTGTTTCACCATATATTCTTCAAATGATTGATGTGGTTACTTGTAGCTTCAAATGGCCTCGCATGGTCCATCATAACAAAGCTGTCACTCGCCCTTCACCACCGGATTTGGTTCTTCGGCGCCAAGCCCCTTGCTTGCCCTTCACCGCTGCATGGTCCATTGTGACCGAGCATCGCTTTCCCTTCACCGTCTTGCCATAGTAGCCACTTCGTATCCCACATCTTCAACATTTTTACTTTGTCATTCTTGGTATCGTTAGGTGTAATGATATCACTTGAGCATCAACACCTTTGCAATCCTTGGGACCTATTTCTCTCATTCAACTCAATAAAATTATTAGTCCCAATGATCCGGTTGTCAACCTCCACATGTTGACCAGCAGATCGCGTATATAAAAGGATATGAATAAATGATGAGTATTAATCAACACCACAAGTGTCATATACTCAAATATATGCTCAAATGTAAAGATCCCAATTAAATGAAAGTGAATAACTTGGATCGATTACATGCATAACTAAAGTATAGGATTTACTCCCCTTAAATGTATGCATACAAAATGTTTGTGTGAAGCAAGAGTATGCATGAAAGAATGAAACATTAAGAGCTTATCCTATATGAGAATAGAAGGCATTTATCAAATATAGGCATTAAAATAGAAACATACCTTCATCATCTCTATGTTCTCAATGTAAAGAGACTAAACAAGATATGGCTCAAACAAAACATTAATCTCACATGCTTATGTAATCACATGAAAATATTATATATATTCATATTCATATATATATATATATATATATATATATATATATATATATATATATATATAGGAAATGCAGATTTGCACTCGGGTTCATATGTACCTACAATCTACACCATTGATGTGTTCCAAGATTCGTGCTGCAAAATGTACCTAACCTTAACCAAATGAATGCTTACTATAGGGAGAAAAGATAATTAGGATTAGGTTGGTTCACAATATGTATAACATGTATGTTGCATGTTTTACCAAATAAATTTTTCAATAATAATCATATATGACATTTATATATCTAGTGCATTGTATTTCTCTAACCCTTATTTTGCTTATAACATGATATTTAGTCAAATGGAGAAAACAATATATCTACTATATCACCAAATTGTCATCTTGCAAAAATGATATATATCCTACCATCAAAAACTACATAAACAAGATAATTTATATAAACAAGTTAAACTACATAAACAAGTTTTGCATACAAGGAATACAAAAATTATATAAACAAGATATTTTACACTTGTAAAAAATATAGTATAACGTAAATATCATACATGTTACATTTTGTTATGTCACGCCCGGAATTTCTATCCAAAATTCCAAACGCTTACATGTGTGTGAACCCTCGTCCAGGAATCAGCCGAGGCACACAATAACAAATTGATAATAGAGTACAAATATTACTCTAATTAATAAGCGAATAAAATGTCATTACAGAGGTAGATAGTTCCTCTCAATCAATAAAGTTCTAAGCAGCGGAAATTAAATAAACGGCGCAGACGGCTCCACTCCACAGGCAGCTTGACCAAGGCTACACCTAATCCTCCACACCATCAGCCTCATTGTAGAACTCTTCCTCTGATGAATGATTGCAAGGTGAGTATATGACATACTCAGCAAGCCACGCAGCAAATATGCAAGTGCACAGGATAACAAAGGATGGCATAATAGGGTTTCATTTGCAAAAGCAGCATTTAGCAAACATTTGAGAATTTGATAAAACAGTTAAGTAATTAAACAATATTAATCCAACGCTATACAACATACCCTGTTGTATAGGCCCAACCATTCTGAACAACCACCCCGGCTGCACAGTTCTATCTCCAAACCAGGAATGTACCATTCCAAACCAGGAGCTAATCAAATTATTACCAGTTATAGC